GGCTCGGCGGGGCCCTGGCTCCGCGAGAGCTCACTGGGGCACGCGTTTGCCCCGGCCGCGCTGCAGGCTGTCCCACGGCGCGCGCCCGCTGCGGGTAACTCTGCGGCCTTTCTTGTGACCGAGATAGGGCATCTTGCGACAGCCTCGGGCAGCTCCTTCCTGCCCGCCGGAGTTGCCGGGCCTGACTCACTTCCCACAACGCTGTTGTCACCCTGGGCAAGGCCATCGGCAGGGGCTGCCCCTGCTCGGGTGCCCTCCCGTGCCCGAGGGGCTCAGGGTGGGCTGGGAAGCGGGGCCCTGGCTGGTGCCCAGGACTGCTTTTGCTTCCTGCTTTGCGGCAGGCAAGTGAGGAGCACAAAACTCTGCGGTGCCGAGTGCTCGCTGCCCGGTGGGTCCGTGCCTGGAGCTGGAGAGCAGCTCAGTGCCGGGGGTTGCCAAGTGCCCTATTCCCCCCATCCCGCATACCCCCAAAATTAGAGGCTTGCCTGTGATGCCAGGGCACAGGAGAGCAGAGAGAGCATGGGGTGCGTGCCGGGGGTTTGTCCTGGGGCTCTCCATCCCCATGCCATACCCTAGTGCTGCCCTCTGGCTCTCTGTGGCCCTGCGTCCTTGGGAGAGGGGGACCCACCGGTCCCTCACTGGGGCCTTGTCCTGACCTCACTTTACCCCCATCACCTCCAGGTGCCAAAGCTGGGGAAAGGGCAAAGGACCCACTGCCCGCCAGGTTTGGCAGCAGGACATGGGGGTCCCTGCCTCCCGCTGGCAGCACCTCGGGAATGCTGCAGGTCCCCCTGCTCCGTGCCAGCCTGCTGCCCCCTCGCGCCAGCTCTGTTCTCTCTCTGAGTGCCTGCTGCCCTGTCTCCCAGTTGATCTTCTTCCCTGGCTCCCCAAGGGCTGGCATGCTGTGCCCGGGCTGGCATGTTGTGGAGTCAGGTCACAGCTGGCACGTGTGTCGTGGGGTGGCTGTGCCCCTGGGTACATGCCGGCCCCAGTGTGGGATGCCCATGGGTGGCACAGGGTGGGGAAGCTCCAGCCCTGGCAGGGAAGGGGTGGGTATGGCCTGAGGGGCGCTGTGGGCATGGGGATGGGAGCAACCCCCCTGCCTCGGCAAGTGCCAGGTCTGGGGGATAGATGTGCCTGGGGACTCTGGCTCTGCTAGGGGGGTTATGGGGTGATCCCTGCCCAGCTAACAGAGATATTGATCTCTCCTCGGTCCTCATCAGGGTTCGTGGTGGGTCACGCTGGCTTGTACCAAGCTCTGGCCATGTTTGCAGTGGCCTATTTCATCATTGGCATGACGGTGCTGTCTGTGTGTGCCATCGCCACCAATGGGGCACTGGATGCCGGAGGAGCCTACTGTATCCTTTGCTGTGGGTGCTTCCAGGGCAGGGGGCATGAGCCAAAATTAGGTGACAGCCTGGAGATGGCTGTTGGGGGGCTGCATTGCGACTGGGACTGCCCTGGCCTGGGGGTGGCAGGGAGACCCAAGGGTGCCTGAGGGCATTAGTTTGGGTTGCTGGCATCTTCCCTTGACCTGAGCAAGATATGATCAGCCGTGCCCTGGGCCCAGAGTTCGGGGGCAGCATCGGTATCATGTTTTTCCTGGCCAACGTGTGTGGCAGTGCCCTTTACGTGCTGGGGCTGGTGGAGGCAGTTGTGGACAGCTTTGGGGTGCCACCTGGTAAGTGCCTGGGTGTGTGGTGGCAGAGGGCAGTGGGGATCCCCTCCCTGAGCAGCTCTAGCACCTTGCCAGGCTTGCCAAGGCAGGTGTATAGCACAGAGTTGGGGCATGATGCCTAGCGTAGCTGGCGTGGCTCACCCAGCCCTCTGCCCCTGCTGGCGAGTTGGTGTCCATCATGCATGGCATGAAGCTGGTGGCTCTCAGCTCTAGGTGATACTCACTCTGAGACCTGCTGATCCCAACTCATCTCTTTGCCCAGGGCAAAAGGTGGGCACGGGCGTCCATGTCCTGCCCCAGAGCTACTGGTATGAGCTGCTCTACGGCACAGTCCTGCTCGCCTTGTGCCTCGTGGTGTGCCTCGTGGGCGCCTCCATCTACGCCAAAGCCACCTTCCTGATCTTCCTCATCGTTGCGGGTGTGCTGGGCACCATCCTCATCAGCTTCTTCTCCACGCGGCCCATTGGGGTGCCCATCCGCCTGCCACACTTCAACGGCTCAGAGACCGAGAATGGCTCCTTCACAGGCTTCTCGCTCACTACCCTGCGAAATAACCTGGGTGGTGAGGAATGGCTTTCCCCAGGCCTGGCTGCGGTACCCACTGTGGCGTGTGTGCCCAAACCCTACCTGTCAGGCCAGAGAGGAGTGGCTCTGTCCTGTGGACTGGCACCTCCATGTCAAGAGGGACACGCAGGAGGGTGGGGAGAGCCTACGGGTACAGAGGTGCCCGAGGTGGTTCATCTCATGGTGGCTGTTGCCTGGGCACAGGGGACACTGAGGGGAGAGTATATGTCAGGGGTGTGCCACCTCAAACAGCTCATTGCAGCCTGTGCCCATGTGTCCTGCAGGCGGGTACGGGGTGGACTACACCACGGGGCAGATGATGAGTTTCAGCTCCGTCTTTGCGGTGATGTTCAATGGCTGCACTGGCATCATGGCAGGCTCCAACATGTCAGGTAAGGAGAGGGAGGGTGCCAGTGCTGGGGAGGGGTGTCATGGCTGGGTGGTACCAGGAGCGAGGAGTGGGAGCCACAGCTGGGCAGAGGAGGTTGGAGGAGAGCAAGGAGTGCTGTGCCTGCAGGTTACTAATGCTCCTGCCCGCAGGGGACCTGAAACGCCCGAGCTACTCCATCCCGCGGGGCACCATCTCTGCCGTGCTCTTCACCTACCTCGTCTACAACCTGTTGGCTTTCCTCATGTGTGCCACCTGCAACAGGTACGGCTGCCCATCCCCTCCCTGGGGTCATCGGTGTCAGGGTGTGCCCAGTGCCAGGGCACACTGCTGGCCTGGGCTGATGTGGGTGCCCGCATCTGTGTGTCCATCTCCAGGATCCTTCTGCAGAAAGATTATGGCTTCCTGCGTGACATCAGTATCTTCCCACCCCTGGTCACAGTGGGCATCTACGCTGCCACGCTCTCTGCAGCCATGAGCAACCTCATCGGGGCATCCCGCATCCTCTATGCCCTGGCCCGGGATGATCTCTTTGGTGAGTGCCCGGGGCACGCTGGCACCTGCCAGAGCCTACCCAGAAGGTTGACATTGACTGGGACGAGCCCTGGGACCAGGGAGTCCCCTTCCTGGTTTGGGGGTGATGTTCTGTGGGTTGGCATGTGCCCGCTGTGGGGAATATAGGGTTTGGGGTCCTGAGCCTGGGCTTGCCGTTGCCCTATTTCCCCTTGGTGAAGCCCAGTCTCCACCCTGTGACATGAGTGCAGGCTACTTTCCTGTTCATGCCCAGGGTGTCTTATTTTCAGCACCTAGAGTGGGGGGGCACCACAGTAGCCTGGACTGGCACCCCATGGCACAGCTGTTTTTCCCTGAGGGAGGTGGTGTGGGGGTGCCAGATGCCAACTGTACCCCGCCCCATCAGCAGTCTGGGAAGCACCCTCTGGCGTCATCAGCCAGGGTATGTGCCTGCATGCCAGCCAGGCTGCAGAGATACAGTCAGTTAGGTTATCTGTATGCCCTGGCGTTGGTGCCCAGTGTGGCAGGACTCCTGAATTGTCACCCAGGTGGTATGAGTGCCCGTGGTGGCCCTCTGGGCAGGTCCTGCCTTGTGTTAGCCCAGCTTCCCCCTTTGTCTGCAGGCCGGGCGCTGGCGCTTGCCAAGAAGACATCTGCCAGTGGGAACCCTATCATGGCTGTGATTCTCTCCTGGCTGGTGGTGCAGGTGAGTTTGTCTAGCCTGGTGCCCGCTGACCTGGGTCCTGCCTGCCGCAGAGGTGCCCTGTGATGCTCCATTTCCCAGCGCCCCAGGGTGAAGGTGGGTTGGCACTTGGGCTGGATGTTGCAGAGCCAGAGTGTTGTTGGGTACGTTCCCCTCCCAGCCACGCTGCTTTGTCGAGCGAGGGGGAACTGCTCCCACCTCAGGGCTGCGCCCACAGCTTGGTGCCAGGTGAGATGTGACCTCTCCTCTCTGATAGCCCTGTGCTCTGTAGTGGGGCTGGGAGCAGCCGGTGACCGTGGCAGGCGTGGTAGAGCTGAGGGACAGCTGAAGGATGGGGTACTGGGCAGACTGGAGGGTAGGAGTGGGGAGCACTGCATGGCTGCTGGAGGACATGGGACAGGAGAGGGAGCGCTGCCCAGCTGTGGGGAGGCGTTTGGGGCAAGATGGATGGGGTGCTGTCCTCCAGGGGGCACCCTCAGGGCTGGAAAGAGGAGCTGAGATCTATCCCTTCGCCCTCGAGGCCCCCAGGAAACCCCCCCCAGCCCCATGCCCACGTGCCCTGCCTGCAGCGACCTTTTCCTTCCCTAGCCGATGACTGAAGGATAAATCACAGCAAATGGCTGAGTGCGGGGGCGGGCGCAGGGGGCTGCAAGCTCTGAGCCGCGCTGTTAACTCCCAGTGAGCCAAAAGCTGCATGGTTGCGGTTGGCAGCCTGTGGCCGCCAGTTACATAGCTGGGCACCGAGGCGCTGCCCATGCACCCTGTCTGCCTTCTGCCCGGCCTGTTCCCTCCTGGCATAGGCAGAAATTCATGTCCAGCGTGGCATCGTCCCTACCCTTTCCTGGCATGCTGCTGCATGGAAATGCCAGTCTCGGGGCTCGCTCTTGGGAGAGTTGTGCCATGATGGCAGTGAGCAGGTTGCTCCTGTGCACCTCTGTGGAGCGTGCTGGCAAGGTGGTGCAGTGGGCATAAAGTGCTGCCCACCTCTGTGGAGGTGAGGTCTGGTCTTTAGTGCCCTGGGAGGCTGGAAGGGTGGGCAGCAAGGCTGCTGTGGGGTGCACCGGGCTCAGCGGGGCTGGCGTGGGCATGTGCCAGGGATGCTGTCGTGCAGGGCACTGACTGCGTTCATGCTCTGCTCCCCTGTGCTCTCTGCAGGTGGTGCTCTTCTCTGGGAAGCTCAACACCATCGCGGGGGTCGTCACCACCTTCTTCCTCCTGGTTTACGCTACCGTCAACCTGGCCTGCCTGGCACTGGAGTGGGCATCGGCCCCTAACTTCAGGTACCCGTTGGCGCAGGGGAGGGAGGCTGCTGAGACGCTGGATGGGCACCCATCCGTCCATCAATCTGTCCGTCTGCGGCTCCACTGCCATCGCACCATGCTTGCCACCCCTCAGAGGGCAGAGATGCGGAGCAGCCGCTCTCCAGGGCATAACGGGAGGGCAGAGACACCCCCTTCCCTTGGGACAGAGGAGGGAGCACATCCCAGCGTGGCACTGGCTTGGCACCATCCCCATGCCCTCGCACTGCTTTATTGAGCAAGTATCGATGCATCCAGCTCTAGCCGGGTACCACCTGCCCCCTCCCCCTAGGCTTTCCGGAGGTAATTTATAGCTTGTGCCCGCCCGGCATCCCCCGGGCAGCTTGCCAAGCAGTGATGGAGCCCTCTTTCCATTAGTGCTAATTAAACTAACGGTGAAGGGGGGGGGAGGGGGATCCTGAGTGGGAGGAAGAGAAGAGATATTCCAGGAAGGATGAGTGTGTGTGACAGGCAGCCCTAGTCTGGGAGGGCACAGGGCTGCCCTGGCATGGGCCGGGTCTGGCCTGGCAGAGCTGCCCCCACGACTGTGGGGACACAGCAGGGTCATTTGGGGAAGCCTGGTCTATCTCATGCCCTTTGCCATTGGGCTGGGCACAGCTCCCCGCCCCGCCAACCCCAATCAGTCTGTGTTCCCCCAGTTCCTGTCACTGTGACCTGGGGATGTGGGTGCTGTCTGGTTTGAGGGACCACCCAGAGGGGATGGGGCCATGCCAGTAGCTGCTTGTGGGACGAGGGTGGTGCCTGCTGCCCGAGGTGCAGGGCACTCCACATCTGAAGTGAGGAGTCCCAGAGGTGATGCTGAGCAGGGCTGGGTGGCACTGCTAGAGGGTACAGTAGGGCAGCATGTCCCTGAGAGTGCCCCAGTCCCAAGAGAGAGCTGGTGTCTGCGCCATGTTGGGGCTTGGCCTCCCCAGCTGTCCCCTTGGCCAGGCACAGATGGGGCATGAACGGTGCTCAGGGTGGGGGAGGATGCTGCAGCTGGGTGGCAAAGGATGCCTTTGCCCACCCTGCTCTCTAATGGCCCCTGCTGTGCCCACCCCCCACTCGCCCATGCTGAGGTCTCCATCAAGCACAGTGGAAAAGGATTTTAATTACCTTTCAGCAAAAACAACAATTAGAGAAAATAACAGCTTCTCGCCTCTCCGCCTCCCTGCGCCAGGCTGAGCTGCTGCACCCGACTGCTGGCGCTGCCACGCGCTCCCTGACACCACCCGGCTCTCCCGGGCCACGCTAATCACCAGACCCCGTCCCCATGAACATCAGCCCTGCCTCAGGTTACCCCCCTTTTGCGGGATGTTTGCCCTATGACAGTGGGGTACGCCGTGCCCACCACCCCTGCAGTCCCCTGTGCCCTCCTGCAACCCCGTTCCTCTGTGGCGCCAACCCCGTTCCCAATTGCTCTCGGAGAGGCGTGGGGAGCACGGTGCCCTTGTCGAGGAGGCGGAGAGCCCTGGCGCGGTGTTGCCAGGCTGCGGGCTCTGCTGCCAGCAGCGCGGCACCAGGAAGCAGGCTGATTGAGATGGAAATTGCCATTTCTCTGCCTGGCCCGAATGCATGCTGTGATGGAGTGCCATTAGGGAGAGGGGGGAGGCGGGCGCTGGGAGGGGGATGCGCAGCGGGAAAGCCTGCCGGAGAGCGGTGCCGCAGGGAGGCCTGTCCTCGTGCCCAGCCACCCCGTGTGCCGAGATGCCTCGGGCGCAGCATGGAGAGCGGTGCTGCTAGGACTGGCTGCCCTCGGTCAGCAGAGGGGCTCCAGAAAGCAGTCCTGGCACCGTGTGGTGTACCTGTGCCACCCTAGGATATGGCAGGGGGCAGCTGGATCAGCTGACAGTGCTGGGGAGCGTTTACTTGTCACTACCCCCTGTGTAATTAGCTAACGATCCCCTCTGCAGCCTGGCACATGCCCATCGCCTCCTCTTGGGAGTTTCCTCTGCCAGGCGAGCATGGTCGAATGCCAGGGACTTTGTACCCACCGGTGCCACTGATGAGGATGGAGGCAATGCCAGCTCCTTGTGCCCGTGTGTCCACTGTGGTTTGCCCGTAGCCCATCTGCATGGCTGGCATGAATTGGATGGCATGAAGCCCCGTATCAGGGGCTGAATTTCTACTGAGCTCCCACCTGCAAGGTGCCTGTTAGCTGTGGCCCCCACTCTGCTAATGAGAGACATCAGGCCCTTTTCCCAGTTGCTTTCAGCCAGCAGCACTGGAGCAGCCAGTTCCTGATGGGCACAGCAGCAATGCCTAGATTTGGGGAACATCAGGCAGGGCTGTGCCCTCTCCCACAGGCATCATCCCATGTGCCCTGGGTTGGCACAACAGAGTTCATTGGGGGTGGCTGGCCTGACCTTGGCGCAGCCTCCTGTCACTTCTGCTCCCACTGTCTCTGTGCCCACCCTGCAGCTGGCACGGGGGACCATGCAATAGCTGGTGCCTTTTCTCCTTGCTCCAGGCCCACCTTCCGGTACTTCACCTGGCACACGTGCCTGCTGGGCATCGCGGGCTGCTGCGTCATGATGTTCCTCATCAGCCCTGTGTCGGCCACGGCGAGCCTGGGCTTCCTCCTTCTCCTCCTCCTCGCCCTCCACTACCTGTCGCCCAGCAGCACCTGGGGCTACATCAGCCAGGCCCTCATCTTCCACCAGGTGAGCTGTGCCAGCCGTGTTCACTGCCTTGCCCTCCTCTGCTGGCCCCTTTGCCAGCCTCGCACCCTGCGTGGCAGAGAGTTGGTGACACCGGGGTTTGTGGGCCCTGGGCATCTGCCCAGCACTTGCCTTCGGGGTGGCAGCACCCTCCTGCCAGCTCTTCCTCAGGCAGTGTTTCCTTGGGGTTGGTATCGCCATGGTGCAGGTTGTTAAAGAAAGGGCTCCTTACTGCTGCGGCAGTGGGAGGGCTGCCCAGTGCGGGGCACGCTCCTGACACCCTTGCCCTCCCTCCGGGCAGGTGCGGAAGTACCTGCTGATGCTGGACGTGCGGAAGGACCACGTCAAGTTCTGGCGCCCGCAGATGCTGCTGATGGTGCAGAACCCACGGGGCAGCGCCCGCCTCATCGACTTTGTCAACGACCTCAAGAAGAGCGGCCTCTATGTCCTGGGCCATGTGGAGCTGCAGGACTTAGGTGAGAGGCTGCCCCTTCCCCTGGGGCTGCCTGCAGCCTGTCTCTGCCCCTCCCCACGGTGGCCAGGGCAGAGCTCGCAAAGTCCCTGGGGCTGCAGGGCCTGGCTGGGTGCAGCAGGTGATGCCCCTTTGGGTACTCACTGCTGCCCTGGATAAGGGCAGGTGGGGCTGTGCTGCTCCTTTCCACCTCCGGGCAGGGAGACTGAGGTTGGGGTCTTATCCCAGAGTGCTGGGGTGACACTGGTGCCCGTCTCCCAGCTGGGCCCTGCGGACACAGGGGAGAAATATCGGCGCTTTGGGCACACCTGTGGCTTTGGGTTTCGCACAGCCTGGGAGACACAGGTGGCTTTTGTCTCTCCCAGGCCTCATGCGCACGCCTAAGTATGCACACGTGTTGGCATACGTGTGTGCTCACACATCGGTCCCTGCGTGTGCACGCACAGCTCCTGCACGCATCGGCACCGGTGTGCGCGCCCAGCACCTGCCCCCCGGCCTCTGTGAGCCGCCACGCAGCACAGCTCCGTGCGCACAAGCGAACGCCTGCGTGCACCTAGCGCGCACACGCTTGGCGCAGCCTTGCGCATGTGTGTGCGCGCCCATGTCCTGGCCGCGTGTCTGCAGATGCGTTCCCGTGCTTCAGGCGTGGTTGCACCCCACTGGGTGTTCATTTGCACACGCGTGTTCCCTCACCCGCTCCCCCTCGCCCTGCGGTGGCCATCCCCACCCCTCAGCGGATGCACGGGCTCTGCTCCCCCCTTGCCGTTGCCGTGGGGACTAATGGCCTGAA